GGCGAAATACACTTTCACGCGTGCACACCGGCTGTGCAGAAAGTTGCTCTTGGCAACATTCATCCATTTAGTTGTTCAAGATCAAAAGGAATGCGATAAACATCAATTATGCCGGTGGATATTCCTTTCGGAAAGACGAGGTTAACAATTTTCAGTCATCAATATTGTCAAAAATGTAGGCGTGGACCTTTTTCTCTATGGGGTTTGGCAATGAAATCATCTGGGGTTTTTTTGTCTTTTCCCTCTCCATCTTCTCTCTTTCTCTTCTGTCTCGAAAGGCCCCTCATTTCATTTCTTTTGTCTCATATTTGAGAATGAATAAGCCATCCTCAAAGGTCGGCTTTGAGCCCCTCAGCTGCAGTAATCCACAATGATGAAGCATTTAAACACACACACACACACACATGCCCATCTATACAACGACCAGCACATACATGTACATACAAATACACAGAAAAACACCCTAATCTTGCACAGGTGTATACACACAAGGCGGTGTACACATACACATACGTACACATGCAGCAAAGAGGTCATGTGTGACCTGAGGAATGCGGGGGTCAAATCTTTAAAGACCTGGCTGATAGAGGGGATGTATAGGATCAAAGGAGAAAGAACGGGAGGGAGAGATGGATGGAAGGAGGCATATGAGGAGAGGGTGGGAGGGAATGTACATGATCAAAGAGGAGAGAAGAAGGGAGGAATGAAATGATGGGAGGATGAATGGACGGGAGAGAGCGAAGGTGTAGCCAAGGGGGGGGCTAACAGAAAATATGCTCATGCGGGAAATTGAAAGGACTGGAGGAGAAAAGAGGGGGGCCGGGGACGAAAAAAGATGTAGATGAGGAAGGTTAGAGGACGTAAAAACAATACAGATAACTTAAACTGACAGGTCTGTGTGTGTGTGTGCGTGTGTGTGTGTGTTTAAAGCCAGAAAGTGAAAGCTCACTTGTGCAGTGCTGAAAGATTAATGCACGTGCAGATGTGTGTGTCTGTGTGTGTGCGAATGTGGAATCTGAATACCTGTTGAATGAGGCTGTGACCATTTGTTGCAGCTGCAGTACCCATTAGCAATACTCCCGACAGTCATTTCCCCATAAACGTATATGCACTTGAAAATAAGTTTATTTTTCACATCTTTATTCCCAAGTAACCGATAACTCCACCAGAGAAGTGTTTTGTATCATACATTGTCACCACCAAGGTGACTGGAAAGTGTTTGTCTTCACTTCTCTCAGAGGATGGCTGCTTCACACACTGGTTTCCAATTCTGACTCAATGTGACGTATATGCTTACAACAGGCGTATATGCCTCTTAATATTCAGGGTCGGTTACATCAAACCTAAAATCTGCTGCTGAAATCTTTCCCTGAGCCCCGCCATGCGGAAAAAAGAGGACAAGTTGCATCTTGCAGTTAAAAAAAACCCATAACCAGGTGTTGGTGTCTAAATGTGGGACTACGTGACAGGGCTGCTGTGCTTCTGTCGTCTTTTGCACCGACTAAGATCTGCGGATAACGTAAGAACTCATAAGAAACTCTCTAATCTCTGTTTATTTCTATTTACCTTCGTGCTCTCCGCCTCTGATAACATCAACACTCAGAGTCCATTTCCCTCATTATCTCTGTCTGTCCTCTCTCTCTCGGATCAGCTGTCGATTTTCAACAGCATCAACAGGCCTCACCTCCCTCCCTCCCTCCCTCCCCCCCTGCCTTCCCCTTCTATGTGTGTGCAATACGTATGACAGAGAGAGGGAGCGTCTTATTGCTCCCATGACTTCAGGGAGTCGGGGAGGAAACTGTTTGGAGGTCATTCATTTATATTTGGGAGGTGTCCAGCGCTGCAAGTGCGGCGTTTCTGAAAAACATTATTGGTCAACACAGTGTGGACAGGCTGCATTGGGACAAGCACACACAGACATGGACACAACACGAGGAAACACACCGACAGAACGACAGCTGAGTGCTTCTCTTTAGTTTCATATCCAGATTCAAATTCAACTTTCGTCATCTCCTTTGCCAACACTTCCAATCAGAAAAACATCAGTTAGCCAGAGGCTTTTCCATTCAGGGAGTTTATCTCTGTGTTTATAAGCTGTTCTCATTGCACCAGATTCACACGGTGAGAGCAGTTTACACACATTATACATCCACACACAGACAAACTGTGTTGCTGACAGATTGATACTAAATACTAAATACGCTGCGTCGCCTCCCCTCCACTTGTTGTGGTTATGCTGCGGTAGCGTGAAAGCAGCCGGGTGTCGAACTGCGTTTGAGCGGTGCAGGCTGCGGTGCCGCGATGCCGTCCTGCTGTTAAAAGTGGTCTTTCGGCTCAACAGTGCTGTCGGTTTTAAAGCAAACTAGTTGGGATGAATGACAACTGAAACAACCGTTCAACAAGTTCACTTTTTTTTTGTCCCTATATTACCGTACAAACCTCAACTGGGTTGCCAGCTCGGCGTTGATCTGTTATCCTTATGGCGCCTCCCCACACACACTTCTGCCTCACATATGTCTAATGTCCTAATAGTGGTTTTCAAATAAAAAGGGAGTGTGCAATCACCCCGATGTAGTTGCACGGTGCAGGTGGTTGTTTTTCTGTCTGCTTCTTTTGTGGAATCTCACTTCTGATCATGCAAATAGATCTTAGGTCCCGGTGCGTGCAGCTGGCGGTAGGTTGAGGAAGTGATATTACTCTTCTCAACAGGCAAATGATTTTTGGAAGGTGATCAACTATTTCATGACGGCAACTATGGAATCCCCCTCGCTATCTTGCAAATGAAGACAACCAACTGTGGAGCAGCGAGAGTTTTTTTTGTGTGTAGCCGAACACTCCAAAACCTCCACATGTGGGAATCTGACTGTGATGCTGTTTGCTCTGGTTGCACACAGCCACCCTAGTCCATCTCAACGAGGAGAGAGGGGGGGGGGACATTTCCATGACAAAGGACAATTATTGACTTTCATTGGCTCTGCCTGCTTTGATATCAGCAAGGGGTGTGTCTGTGTGTGCGTGCTGAAGGGGATGGGGGGGGGGGGGGGGGTCGGAAGAAAAAACAGGGGAACCTGATGAAAGGAGCCGAGTGGGAAAGTGTACCCACTGACCCACAGTGCACTAACAGAAGAGGAGGATCCCAGAGGAAAGAAAGAAATCATTCATGGAGGTTTTCTTTCTCTTCCTTTCTCCGTATCCTCTCTCACTTTCCTCGCTTGTGTTTTCTTCCCGGCTATCTTTTTCCATCCCTTAACCTCCCCCTTTCTTTTTACTCTCTTTCTTTTTAACTGGCTATAACTGATCCCCCCCCCCACCACCCCCCCTCCTTGTCCTCCTCCCTCAGCAGCCATAATTTAAGGGGCTGAAAGGCACGGCAAGCGGAGAAAGAGGAGAGGAGAGAGCTGGGAAAAAAAAGGGAGACCTTGCAGATGAGGGCCTTCCTTCACTGACGTGGCACAGATGTGAGGGTGTTTTTTGTGAAATGAGCCGGGGAGGGGCGCGATAGGCTAATTTGCGCGGCATAAAGACGGGGGCCCTTTTCATATGCAGAGCGCTACTTTGATGCGCGGCCGATGAAAGCTGGAAGGAGCGCAGGGGAAACGAGAAGAGAGGGTGACGGAGGGGTTCTTTGTCTCTCGGACAAGAAGGCATCTGCTCCAGGCTGCCCTCATCTCCTCCTCTCCTCGCTGCACCGAAGGCTCCCACAATGGGCCGGCCGGCCCGACAGAGAAGAGTGTCATCGGAGCACCTTAGAAAAGCCCCGGTCGGCGTACGGGTATGCATATCAATACAGAATCCATTTGACAAAGATCTGAAAGTGCAAGCGGGCACACTGCAGTGTAAAAACACGCGGACATACTGTATTCACCTTTACATGGCTGTTCCACGGCTGATGAAACACATCCTCACTCTGACTGATTGCTCCCATTGAGATACAAATAAGCCATACAAACTTTCCTCTTTTATGGAGCGTGAGATCAATGGCCTGCAGGGTGAGCGGTGTGCACGCGCGTGTGTGTGTGTGTTTCTGTGTGTGTTTGTGCGGCGGGGAGATCACAGGGAGAGCATGAGCTGAGGTGAGTGGCCGTGGTTTCTTTGTGTGTCTGTCTCAGTCTTCTATGTGCAAACCCTGGGACTTCCAGAGTACGTGTGTGTGTGTGTGTGTGTGTGTGTGTGCGTTCACTTGTGTTTGTGTGCATGCATGCGTCCGTACTGATCATAGGCACACCAGGGCCCTCTCACCAAACACTGGCTGATTTCACGCTCACACAATAGTTGAGTCTCTGCAGCGGAGCACAGAAGGGTTAGAAAACTCAAACTGTCTCCTTTGCTATGCAGTCAGAGTATTTATAAGTTTGCTACCCGTTTTAGATCACATCAAGGTTTCAAGGCGTAACAAAAATATGTTTTCTAGACATACGTGTGAATTAAGGCCTTTATGGAGAGTGATGTTGTTGTTGTTGTTGTTGTTGATCAGTTGACAAAATGCTAAAATGCAAAGCAGGCAATGCAAAGCAAAGTGCTTTGGTCCAGATGGAAATATCTCAATTACAGTTCTATGGATTGTGGTTACATTCCTGGTCCAGGCCGGTTGATACAGGCCTGAAGACTGTTTGTATAGCTTTGCATTTAATTTCATTTAATCAACTGTAACAGAGGTGGTAACACATCCTCTAATTACTGAATTGAAACCTATTTTTATAACTTTGTCGTCAGTTACTGTCGCATCTTCTATCTACAAATCTATCTACTTCCCCGAGTAGTTTTAAACTACTTAAGTCATTTCAAACTCATTCAAGTTCTCTAACTGGAGTAAACATATCCAGGATTGTTTTTACAGGTGAAAGAGATGATCGTGAGCAAAGTCGTGCATTATTAATCCTGTATCGTAATTTCAAACATACGTTTAATTGCTTTTACCAAATACTTATAGAACTATGAGGCCTAAGAGCCTTCAGGGTAAACAAATGAATCGATAACTAAATGCCGTTGTCTCATTCTAGGTGATCTTTGCCCTGAACCAGACGTTGTTGCAGCAGGAGTCTTTAAGGGCAGGAAGCCTGCAGGTCCCGTACACCACCGAGGACCTCATCAGACACTACAACTGTGGAGATCTCAACTCCATCATCTTCAATCATGACACCTCACAGGTCAGTCTCATCGTCTCTCGCCTCATCTGATCGTTGTTTTATCTTATCTCATACAGCGGTGGACTTTAACTACTTTCAATCTAGTTAATAGGCAAAGAGTCATTATGACCCTTTGACCTGTTGAGTGTCCCAGTGACATGACCCTTGACCTTTTACCGTAACCCCTAACCCGCTGACTGACCTTTCATCCCCCCCTCACCCCGACCTTTCTACCTTCTTCTCTGTCACATTGCCAATTAACTTATTCCGTCCTTCCGTTTGTCTTCGCCGCGTCTTTGTCTCTATTATGTTTTCTCGTCTTCCTCCTAACGAACCCAGTTCATCGTAGTCGCTTCAAATACACGTTTCATTGTGTTTTTAGAAGGTCTTTTAAGCGCTGGGAAAGACAAAACATAAGTAATCTCCTCTCCCTGTCTAGGTCCCTAACTTCAATAACGTGACACTGCCACCCAGCGAGCAGGTGACCGCCCAGGAAATAGACAGCTACTTTCGACAGGAGCTCATCTACAAGAGGAACGAGAGGATGGGGAAGAGGGTCAAGGCACTGCTGGAGGACAACCCCGACAAGAGCTTCTTCTTCGCATTCGGCGCAGGTTGGTGCTAAGCGTGTAGTTTGCGTGAGTGTGTGTTATCAAATGATCTTCTCTGGGTTCCAGGCCAAAATGTCAGACCGACACGTTTAGTTATTTAGTCCTCCATCAAAGCACTCAATAAGATTGCGCTTATCTCTCCCGCAAAATGAGTTAAATTCCTCGTTCTGTTAGAGGAGCACTTCTGCAAGGGACGGCTTAACGGACTGAGCAGCTTAACAAACATGGAGACAAAGAGACAACAAGAAAAGAGGCACAGAAATCCCAGTTGATTGAGATGTGGCAACTCACTGATTAGCTTTCTCTAATCTGCGGGGCTGTATGTAAAAAAATAAAAAGAAACATTGTGTTAGATGCAATGTTCTGTCTATTTACAAATTCCTCCTCGGACATTTACTTTTCAGGACAAATGCACATTTTCCTCCCTCTCATTGTTTTTTTCATTCTGTTGAAAAGCAGCTCGGCCATTTATCAGCGCCTTTATTGGACTTAACTAAACTAGACTAGACAAAAACATTGATCCATAGCTTTATCAGCCGAGGGTCCAAAGGCAGAAGCTCAATAAATGGTCCTTTTATCAGTTCAGGGCTGAGCAGACGCCGACATCTGGCCTGTTTCAGTTCTTTCACATAGTTTGAGAAAGCTCAGTTCAATTCCTAGAGTTCCTCGACGACTACGAAGCAACCTCATGACAGCCCGATAAGAGATTTGACTTGAAACAGGGATTATAAAGAGACTATAGATAACCGGCGATTCCACAAAGTTGACTACTGAAAGCACCGATGGCTCTTTGTGTGAGTGTGTATGTGTTTCTCGGTTGAGCATATCCAGGGGCAGACTGTCTTTGTTTTGGGGAAAACTTTGTTTGGCCTCTTATCGTTTAATGAAAGGATTGTTCACACCTGAAAAACAAGAAAAAGAAGCAATAATTTACTCGAATGCGTTTTTTAAAATCAAATAAATGTATTTAGTTTGTTCTCATTTCACTCCAAAACGTTTAATGCTTTCCACACAAGATAGCGCTTTACATTTAAGGTAAAGAAGGAATTGCATCCTTTAAGCACACATACAAACCAAAAGCCAACGGTAACACAACTTTAAGTGCACAAGTTTGATTCATTGTGCAATAAAGAGCAGAAGAAAGAAGATAAAGCCATAAACCTAAATATGTATTAACTGCAAATGACATCTGCAGATGGATAACTAGTTCATAGAAAAGGTGGTTTTAATGGCCAGGTTTCTCCAAATGTATTATGTTTCTAGCAGTCTACCGGCACCAATGAATAAGAGACCAGTATAACAGACCTGCAACTATAAAATGATTTCATAAACCAACATTTTCTCAACTATCCAAAGGATCCTTTTGTTGGTCCAAAAATTGTTGAAGGCCAAGGGGATGTGTCAAAATGTAAAAGTGTTCATGACTCAATTCGTATTAAACTTTAAAATACAATGTTACCATAAACTAAAGGTCACAATCCATGTCATTCATCTTTAGTCCATCACATTCACTCACTAATGCACAATATGGACTTTTACTCCATTTATCATTAGAACATTGAAACTATTAAGAAAATGTGACCCCCCCAAATAAGATTAAGCGTATATGCAGTCATTATTTAGAAGAGGGGAAACCCTTTTAATGCAACGAATTTCACAGTCACATTTGACTGCTGAAGGAATTGTCAGAAACCAAAGTTTCTTGGGTCATTTAGAAGCAGAGACGCTGCAAAGTTGGAGCAGCGAGACAGAGAGAGAGAGAGAGAGAGAGAGAGAGAGAGAGAGAGAGAGAGAGAGAGAGAGAGAGAGAGAGAAGCCTTCACAGTCTGCTGGTCTCAGAGCTGACAGGAAACAGCTGAGAAAAAGCAGACACACACACACACACACAAACCCTAACAAGGAGTACATTTCACCACTTGTCCCTGAGGAGGTGCCTTTACAAGGGCTTGGTCTAAAAAGGTGTGTGTATATTTGTGTGTCCGTTATCATGTGTGTGTGTGTGTGTGTGTTTGAACGTGTGTGTGTGTGTGAGCCGGTGAGTGAAAGTGATACGGGTAATCAGCCCAGAAGTTCTAGACCCAGACGTACGGAGGGCGGGTTGCATCGGCATGTTCAAGGAACGGGATGGGGCACATTAGGGGGCACGCACACGTGCATATGCATGAAACACATATACATGTACACACACACACACACACACACACACACACGCACAACCTCCACTGCCCCCAAGACAGATCGGAGAAAAATGTGCCCCTAATTATCCCTGGAGGGGTCAGAGGACACACAGACACATAGATATAACACACACACGCGCGCGCACACACACACACACACACACACTCACTACAAAGGAGTCCATTATGTCGGTGTACTCAACTTTCCTGTTGTCAGGTGTGAGAGCAGTCTTATCAATGACCATCTCGTGTCTCTGGATGTTTGCAAAAGGATGCGGTGACAGATTCGGAGGCTTATTGAGCATTTAGTATTTCCCTAGCTAATAATTTACCAAAGTATCAGTCTGAGGTGTTGCAACGACAAGGAACTTGGAAGGAACCTAAAATTGTAATTTAGTAAGCTTAAATTGTGATTACTTAAAATCCTTCCAGACTTTGAAGTAAATCGGATTCAGAGGAAAAAGCCACATATTTATCATATTTCTCTGAAGGATTCCATTAGCGTGCAGGGCTTTGCTTGCAGATTCCTTACTGACCTGTATGGAAAATTGTTGAGGGTTTAAATTTTCCCCGATAATAAGCCTAATAGCCACAACAACTTAACGGAACAGTTTGTACACCATCATTTATTTCCTGTCAGCTTGCCTGGTTGGATCCAGCGTGCACTTTGCTGAAGGAAACAGCATTTTAGTGCTTCTGGAGGCCCAGTTCATGTTTGTCTGCCAGGATTAATGACAGTAAGCATCCGAAATGCACTGCAACAACGTCTAATCTGATAGCATCGTGAACTTTGTTGCCAAAAAGCCCGGCGTATTGAGGTGATGAGCCACCTCTGCAGTAAAACCCAATGCTCCTGTTGTAGATATTCAATCATGACCTGTTGTTAAATAAATTAATCCGAAGCAGAAGTCTCGTAAAACTGTGATTGAAAGTAGCTGAACTCCTTAATAACTGTTCATGTAGTTACAAGTTTAACAACAGTGAAGAAAACAGGGTGAATGTTTTTTCTCCCATCTCTGTGTCTTTGGTGGAAGAAATGTCTAGTGATTTTTTTATGGGTTGGGGGGGTGGGGGGGGAGTTGTTTACGGAGAAGGCATTAATAATTGGCCGTCCCACAGTGCCAAACCAGAGCTCACATTTTCTAACCCTAAATGATTTCTCATGTGCTTACAGCATAACACGCAACACGCACGCTCATTCTCCCGCTGTCCTGTTTTCTAGGAGTATCTTTCTGCTCAGAAGTTAGAAAAAGACTATGAAAAGAAAAAACGTTGCTTTTACATCGATCGCACATCTTACAGACGTTTAGTAGCATCTCACAAAGAAACAACGTGACGTTGTGCAATATTTCATTTTTATCACATTTATGCCAAATTAGTCCACACACTGGATTCAATTCAATTCATTTTATTTTGTGTTGCCCAAAATCGCAAATTACAAATTGGCCTCAGAGGGCTTTACAGTCTGTACACATACGACATCCTCGGGATGTGGAACAGCACCAGACGAGACGCAGTTTGTTTGTGAGGAACTATCTGAGAAACTTCCCAATCAATATTATATAGTAGGCGCTGACGTTAACTCTTAGATATAGTTCTTAGATATAGAGACCGATTTTGCATTCCAGCCCTGGCGTTTGGTGAAATATTGTTTGTACAGCGGTCTGGTCGGAGTAGTGGTCAGAAAGGCAAACAGTCAAACAAACACAAGTGGTCACCGGTCAGCCGAGAGGAACACACACGGCTTTCTGTGCCTTTCCTCTAAAATGTGTCTGCATCTCACAGAGCTGGTTTCTCCAGAGGATTTGGCCAACGGCATTTTGAGCTCAAAGAACAAAGGTAATTGAGAGACGGACTAAGAGATGATGAGAGCCGCCTGCAACAGCGTTGTGTTTATGTAGAGAGCGGCCGTGGTGACCACACAGAGGTTTATTTACTGTTAGGTGGCCGTTGTTAGATTTACGGAATAGGAAACACTGCGTGTAACACAAAGTTCCTTACAGCACTTTCCCCTGAATAGTCTTCAGCCTCCGAGCTAGATTCAACTAAAAAGAAGGGTCAGAAGGGTACCAGAACAATTGCCTCGACCTTTACTGACATCCACATAAAACAATTGTTTTGGCTTTGACGGGAGTTCTGGAATCTGGCCGAGCTTTCAGTGCTGCTTTTTTTTTTTTTTTTAAAGCAACAAAAGTTGCCTGCTGGCTGGAGTGAGATATTCGACGGATGAGACTTGCCAGTTCTTACACTGCGTCAGGAAGGGTTTGAATGTCAGAGCAGTAACTTAACATAACGCACTCTGCTTGTATCCACGGAGTCAGAACTGAAGTTCTTTGGTCTCCCGGCGCGTAACTGAACCGCTGCCCGCGTACCCCGGCTCTCCGATTTTAGGGCATTGTCACGCATTGCTATACTTTACTGCACTGTAAGTAAATACCTCCTGGAAATTTGTCTGTTCCACCCGATGTGTTTGTTTGGAACAGCGCGGCCATCACTCAACGCAAATGATGCTGTTTAAAACGCGCCATACGGGCAGGCAGGCATATGGAAGCGGTTATTGCGGCGCTCTGCCGGTACAGTAACCCAATCCAAGTGTACAATCTCAAACCATGTTCGCTTTATTATCTCGGCCATGCATGCTGGCACTAGAATGAAATGATGTGTTTACGTATCGCTGATGGCTGAGGGCTCTCACTAATTCTTGACTTTCTTAGCCTCTCCTGGCTGAACCTAAACGCATCGTTGTTTCTCGACGCGCTCAGCACATCATGACTCCCCTCGAACTCTCCGCTCCCAAACCACATATTTAAATATTTGCGGTGGTGT